GTCAAAGACTGCTATTGTGCACCTTCCCCCTCCCGGCTCCCCCTCATCCTTTCTAAACTCCTCGCTTGACGCTTCGGCTGAGCCTGTTACTTCACCCCTCCCCCCTCTTCCCTCCGACCTCTAAAGGTCGAATCCCTCCTCTTCTTCACCTGAACAAGCCTACCCGAAACCAATGACCTCCGCAAGTTCCTGGATAGATACGATGGATCCTCAGAGAAGGTTCTGGACTCTTTAGTATCGAAGGATCCAGCTCAGTATCCTGCCCACAGCATGGCCTCACAGGACCCCAAGGCCTCAACCCCCCTTGCATCTACCAGTGCTCTCAAGGAATACTCCGAGAATGTCACCTCTTCTTCCCAAGCTTTGCCTGGTGTATCCCCAATGGAAGAAGGCAGAGAAGAGCACCAAAGGGAAACCAATAGAGAGGGTCAAACACAGTTGATGACAGGATGCTTACAATGTATAGACTCATGGGCTTCGAATACGAAGGCCTTGCTCACAGGTTCTTGACAGCTGACGCCCAGAGTAGGATGCACGTGAGACTCAAGGGACAGAGGGAACTCTGCAACCTCTTCACCTCCTTACCCTTTGCTGGTCAACCCTTAGATTTCTCATTGCCCATGGCCTCAGAGAATCGCCCTAGGAGGTCCCTTAGATTAGCCTCCTCCCACCTCCTTTCTCCTAACTCATGAAGTTCCTAATTTGGAATGTGAGAGGCTTAGGTCAAGCCTCTAGGAAGTCTGCAGTTAAAGCCTACACCTCCAAACTTTCCCCCTCTATCCTTGCCCCGGTCGAAACCAAACTTCTTGATCCTAACCTCCAACTTGTCCGTCGAGTGTGGGGCAGAAGGCCTTGCCAATGGATTTCGTTGCTGGCAATAGGGACCTCAGGTGGGATTTAGGTGGTTTGGGACCCCTCCGACCTGACCCTTAACAACTACCACATCGGGAATTTCTCTGTCACTCTCCTCCTCTCCAACATTTCGGATGATACTCAATGGAAATTTACAAAGGTCTACGGCCCAAAGTCTAGTTCTCTCAGGCAAAGTTTCTGGACTGAGTTGGACCACATCTCCTCTCTACCTCATCCCATCTGGTGTTTGGGAGGAGACTTTAATGTCACTCGTTTGTCCTACGTGAGGAATACCTTCTCCTCGATTACAAAGGAGATGAGGGATTTCTCCGACTTCATCAGCCACAACGAATTGTTGGACATCCCTCTTCAAGGATGCCAATACACGTGATCCGACCACTCCACCAACCCTACTCTCTCCAAACTTGCCAGGTTTCTCATCTCAGTTGATTGGGAGGAGAAATTCCTGACAACCCTGTCTCAAGCCCTCCCCAAACCGGCGTCAGATCACTGCCCTATCCTCTTAGATACCAATGCAATCAACAGTTGTCCCAGACCCTTTCGTTTTGAACTCCATCAGCTGCAAGATTCCAACCTCTTTTCACTGGTCCAAACCTGGTGGAACTCCTTCACTTCACAGGTGTCTGGTAGAGCAGGGTTTATCCTTCAGACCAAACTCCAATTCCTAGAGTCAGCCTTAAAAACTTGGAGCAAATCCTCCCCTGCAAACTTTTCCCTCATCAAAGCCAACCTTCTAGAAACTTTCAAAAACTTAGATGACCTCGAGGAAACCCGACCCCTGGACTCATCAGAGCAGGAGCTTAGAACCAAAACTAAACTGGATTATCTCTCAACCATCAAAAAAGAAGAGACCTATCAAAGGTCCCGAGTCTCCTGGCTGAAAGAAGGGGACCACAATACAGCCTATTTCCATAAGATTGCCAATTGCCGAAGAAGAGACAACTCTATATCTTTGGTTAAACACAACAATTCTTACCTTACCCAACCAAGAGAAATTGAGCATGTTATACTCTCGTTCTATCGATCCCTTTACTCTGCCCCTCAAGGGCCGAGACCAAGAATCACCTCCCTAAACTTCTTAACCCTCCCTGCAAATCAAGCCTCGTGGTTAGAACGACCCTTTTCAGAGGAAGAAATAACCCAAGCACTCAATGCTCTACCCAAAGACAAGGCACCAAGTCGTGACGGATTCCAGATTGCCCCCCTTAAGGCCTTCTGGGAGATCATCCATCCGGACTTCCTTCTCTTCTTTGAAGAGTTCTTCCACAGAGGTACTCTCCACAAAGCTTTGAACGCCACTTTCTTGGCATTGGTCCCTGAGGTAGAAGGAGCCGAGGAAATTAAAGATTACCGGCCAATTAGTCTCCTCAACTCTCTTACAAGCTCCTGGCCAAAACCTTAGCCTCTAGGCTCCAACTCATACTGCCTAGTGTTATCTCCTCCTCTCAAACTGCTTTCATCAGGGATAGACAAATTCTGGATGGGGCGTTAGTCGCCCATGAATGCATCCATTCCAGACACCTTTCCAAGGTATCTGGTCTCATCTTCAAAATCAATTGGGAGAAGGCCTACGACCACGTCGACTGGTCGATTCTAGACGAGACCATGACCAGAATGGGCTTTGGGGATAGATGGAGAAAGTGGCTGAGAGGTTGCTACTCCCATCCATATTTCTCAATCCTCATTAATGGCACACCCAAAGGTTTCTTTCCTTCCTCGAGGGGACTCCGTCAAGGTGATCCCCTCTCCCCCTTCCTCTTCGCGATAGCAGCTGAAGTCTTCAGTCTCTCCATCTCTGGACTCTACCAGGCGGGCTCGCTCACAAGATTCAAGACCAACAGACACGGTCCAACTGTATCCCATCTGCGGTACGCGGATGACACCATTGTCTTCTTGGACGCCTCTACCAGCGAGGTGGACACCTTGAAATTGTTCCTCCATTGCTTTTAAAAGGCAACGGGGTTCAAAGTTAACATGCACAAATCCAAACTGTTGGGAGTCGGTTTGACCTCTACACAAGTTCGTGCCCTTGTGCCTAGCTGGGGTTGCCAAGTTGAGGACCTCCCTACCACCTACCTAGGTTTACCCTTAGGGCTAGGCAAACCTAAGAAAAGACATTGGTCAACTGTAATAGACAAGGTAGATAGACGTCTGGCAGGGAGGCAAGGTCGTTTCCTTTCCATGGCAGGTAGATCAACTTTGATCAAAGCCACTCTAGCGAACTCAACGATCTAACTCATGTCCATCTTTCACATGCCTGCCTCAGTGGCCAACCGACTAAACCAACTTATGAGAAACTTCTTGTGGTCGGGGCAGGGGGAAAAGAAGAAATACAACCTTGTATCCTGGGACATAGTATGCCGTCCGAAAACACAGGGTGGCCTTGGCATCAAAAACCTTTGATTGCACAACGTTGCCCTCCTAGGGAAATGGTGGTGGCGTCCAGCCAACCAATTAAGAGATCTATAGGCTCGAGTCCTCAAGCACAAATACCATGTTTCTGAAGAAGATTGGCTACCTCAAAGGACCCAGAGACACAATGCTTCAGGGGCATGGAAATCTTTCTCTAAGGCTTTTACCCTCTTCAATAGGTCTAACAGGTTCATCCCTAGAGATGGATCAAGAGTCAAGTTCTGGACTGATCTGTGGTTGGGAGCCACCCCCCTCAGTGAGGCTTTCCCCTCACTTTTCTCCCTTACACGCAATGCCAACTCTACTATAGGGGACGAGGTGGTCCTTTCCGGAGACCGAAGAGTCTAGAGCCCATCCTTTCGAAGGAGTTTAACCGAAGAAGAGACCAGTCAGTTCCAGGTCCTAGCTTCTATCCTTCATTCTTGGTTCTTCCTGCCCCAAGGTAGAGATGCAATTGCTTGGACACTCTTACCCTCAGGAAACTTTTCGGTTGCCTCTTTCTATAAGAGTTTAACACCTCAACCCACGCCCTCGGGTCATCCTAGCTCGACACTTAAGAGAGTGTGGAATTCCATAGCTCCACCTAAGGTCCAAACGTTTAATTGGTTGGCTTTTTCCCACAAAGCCCTCACGGTGGACAAACTCTAGCATAGAGGAGTCCAACTTCCCAATAGATGTGCTCTTTGCGAACAAGCAAGTTGAATTTTGATGGGTGCTCCTTAAGCAACCCGGGCCCAGCGGGGGTAGGAGGAATTTATAGAGACCATGAAAGTTCTGCCCTCCTCGAATGTTCAGAGCACATAGGCACCAAGGACTCCACTCAAGCCAAAAGTTTGGCCTTGTTACATGCCCTGAAAATTAGAATTCATTATGGGGCCCACACCTCAGCGTCGAAGGGGATTCCAAAAATGTGATTTCTTGGGCTAGCAGATCTACCCCTCCACCTTGGCACCTTATTCCTATTTTTGACGAGATACATCACATTTGCAGGGCTATGGACATCTCTTGGATGCATATCTGGAGGACGTCCAACGAGTACGCAGATCGACTGACGAAAGAAGGAGCTAGAAGACAGGGTCATCCACCTTTTTTTGACCCAGGACAGGGGGCAGCCTAACAGTTAGCCCAGCCATTAGACCTTTCTTTGCACAGAAGATTACTTTTTGAAAGCTTTTTGTATATCAGTGTAAAAGGGCGGCTCTATAAGCCCTTCTTTTTTGTTTAATTTGAATTCGCTGCTAAACTAAGCAACTGTGTATTGTTGTTATATCTTTGTATAAACCTGACCTCACGTTTTTTTTACCGAGCCCCTACCTGTGGGTGACTGCGGAACTGTTTACTTGTAATTCCATACTATTTTAATACAAGTTTACCATTTCTCTCAAAACAAAACTTCCTAAAATCATCTTCATCCTTCACAAAAAGGATTGTTGTCCCTCTTTATAAGTTCACCATGACGAATGTTTCATAACGCCAAATGCATATAAAAATGGTCTCTAAAAGCTATTAAGGATCATTCAGAATCAATCTGCCCTAATACAAAAGCATCATAATTAAATAATTGACCAAGAAACACCTCCAGATGTTATGCGAAAAAGTCACCCATAACCATTATTTGTCAATAAATACAAACAAAATTAGGTCAACAGCCATCAGAGAAGCTATGTCTAAAATGATATACATGGCCCAAATTCGTTTCTGATAGTAACACTGACCTATTTGAACATTGGACCCCAGTCCGTCCTTCCATATGAGAGGCTACCAGCTGCCAGTTATCCTCACCAAAAATTTCTACAACTGCACGTAGTTGATTATCTTCATCCACTGACCACTCTTTCTTAAGAATGTAAGCATTAAGGCTTCTTTGATATCGTGACAGACACTGTGATGGGGTTCGGTTTGTCCCCAAGGTTTCCGAGATATTACTCCAATTATGCAGCCCATTGTTCTGGACAACAAACAAAAGTTTCTTGTCTTCATATTTCATCCATGGATTATGATTGATCAAAGGATCTTCATAGTTTAACCACCTATAGGAAGCAGCAGAGGTGAATTTTAGAAAGCAGTAGACATCTTCAAGAAGCCAACAATTATGGAATGCTTAAATAAAATACACAACCAAAGAACAAAAAATCGCATCAAGGAGAGAGAATGGTTGATAGCAATTATTAATGGATGTAGTAAGTGTATGGAGTTCCCAAAACAGAGCAAGCACGATAAATTTGTCTATGTACCCAAAACCAATTAAATTAGTATGAACAACAAAAGCATATATTCACGGCTTCCATTTTTTCATTGAAAGAATAACATTCATGTTCAAATATGATAAGTACCAGGAAGTGGCTACCGAATTAAATTAGATAAAGATGACCATTAGTTGCACATAAGAAATTTCATCTACCAAAAAAGCAACAAAGTGTGAAAGTTTGAGGAAGTGCACATGCAACCTGCAATGAAATGCCTGAAAATCCAAATAATTCCACGAATTGAGTCCATATACCCTCAATCCAACAAGCACCCAACTCCAACTAACTGCAAGGCAACGAGGAATCAGTCCCTCGCAGACAGATTCAGATTGGCAATTCTGATCGGGATCGCCGGATTTTGGGTGATCTGCTGATGAAGAAAATAAAACAAAGGGTAAAAAAAATCACATTATTAAATCATTTAAATCTGATTTAATAAATCAAAATTGATATATATCGAACAAAACTGATTTGATCGACATAAACTTCTTTTTTTTGTTTAAATCAGAAAACAATAAATTAGAAATGGCAGATTGTTTAAGCTTTAAATCGTTCTTTCTCTCACAAATTTGTGATCATGCAAACATTTGATAAACATAAAATGACCATTTGAACTTTAAACAATAAATCAAACAATCTGATTTAAGCAAACAAAAAAGCACAAAATTTATTTAAACAATTTTAAATCTGGCTCAAACAATATCTAGTTTCAAATCTGTTTTAAATTGACCAGATTTAAACAATTTTCAAATCTGATGTAAACAATCAAAAAATCCCAAAATTCAATTTCTAAAAGAATCCCAAAACTTAAGAGTACTCAATTTCGATCTTAAAGAGGGTCTCGATTCGAAATAATTGTGCAAATCTTGTAGAGGGGTCAAAGACAAAGATTTTGCAATATCTCAGTCAAAAAGTGGCCAAGAATTGAGGGAAAACGAATAAAAATGGTGAATTTATCCCTTTCAAAAAAGCCGACTCCCAATTCTGAAAGGGAATTGGTCTGGTACCAAACCAATTCAGAGTCGAACCGGAAATTCCCAATTTTTTAAACCTTGCATAACTTGTAGGAGAGGAAATTTGAAAATCTCAAAGGACTGAGGACCTGAGCACACTATCCTCACTACCCACTTTTATGCAGCGGACGAGGTAGAACCTATGATGCAAGGATAAATGCATGTCGCATGCAAATACAAAACATCAACATCTATGGGACTTGGTGAAAGCAACCACATAAACCCAAATGCCAACCAACATGGCTCATGCTTTCCATGCCCTAAAGGGCCCCATTACAGTACCTTAGTACTCCTCTGATCACATCTCCAATCAGATAACCAAATAGGCAAATAGTGATAAATCAAGGCTCCCTTTTGTGCTTTTGTAAAAGTTTAGTTAGAGAAATCTCATAGATGTGACAGACCACAGCCATGAAATCATGGTCTCATCTATAGCATGGTTGTATGTAAAAATCCATGAAAACAATTATACTTATCAGAAAAAAGGAAGAAAGGAAAATCAAAAAAAATGCCCAGCTATAGTAATTGGGATTGGGATCTGATTGGAAGCGAGAGATTGTGACAGGCTAAAAGGTCCCAACATTCGGGATCATCATCCATTCACCCCAAAATTTAGGGATCAAGTTGCAAGCATGCTTGGGAGCTCGATCCTAACTTCAGGTGAATGAATGAAAAGTTCTACAACTCTGAGCTCCATCTGGTTAAACATCGAGGTCCTCAAGTGCACTTAACTAGGGTTTCCTGTATCAGGAGCACAATGTGGTTTGCATAAGGTTGCAACCTTAAACAATCGAATTAAGGCACACCGCCAAATTTTATCATAAGGTGTAATTTTGGTGTCAAAAATTCTTACGGTTGCCTAAAAATCTATTTCCAACTCTAATTATAAAAATAGTTCAAATCAAGTAGATCTATAAACACATAAAAATCTTGAAAATAGACAGTTTAGATAATGTGTTACAAGTGCACCATTTCGTGAACTCGAAATCTTTTTCTTTTCATATTCATACATCTCGATATCGAGATGATCAATTCAAGGGCTTTTCAATGTTAAAACAACATTTTTCGATGGAATTTTTAGGTGCAACCTTAATTCTACGTGTCAAGGTTGCAACCTTATATAACTTTTACAATTTAAATATTCTGATTTTTATTAAAAATGTAAGAAATCCTGACATTCTGTAAAAATTTAATATCTTTGAACTCCTTTCAGTTTAATTTATAATTTTAAACCAATTGAAATTTTATTAAAAATAAATAAATAAATAAGAAATCAAATCATTATGTAATATTTTAATATTTGCATTCTTTGAGGAGTTTGTCTTTTTTTTTAAGCTGTTAACTGCAGTATAAAAGGAAATAAATACAAGGATGTGCAGAGGGATCCCACAAACCGGGCCTCCTGCCAAAAGAATAGATTACCCCAGAGCGGTAGCCCTTTACAAAATATTGTTCGGGCTTAAAACAAGAATCCGAAAAGGGAAAGATAACTGAAAAACAAAAACAGGCTAAAACATCTGCCCAATACATGTGTGATAATAAAAAACAGTCCAAAACATAGCCTATAAAAAACTCGAGGTACTGGTAGAAGCTCCATCTTTAGCCAGTTGATCCGCCAGGGCGTTGGATTCCCACCACATATGCCTCCATAAGATGGCCACATCCCTCCAAATGTGAGTAATCTCATCAAAAATTGAAGCCGAGTACCAAGGGGAACGTCACGCGTGATGCCCAAGTGATAATATTATGTGCGTCACCCTCAACGATAAGAGGTTGTGGCCATGAGGGGTCCAAGAGCTTGAGGCCGGTGAGGAGTGCTTGACTCAGCCAATTGGGAGTCTGCATGGCCAATGTTCATGGAGATGGACACAAGAATATTGCCAAGGTGGTCACGGAGGAAGCCACCCACTCCTGCTAAACACCTGTCGAAGTTAAGTTTTGTAAGGCCCGTCTAGGGGGGGGGGACCAGTTGCTAGACTTGGAAATCCACGTTGAATGGGAGAGGAGGATTTCTTTCCAGCAGTGCAAGAAAGTTGTGGCTGAGACTCCTATGAAAGTCATGTGGTTGGAGGCCCAAAAAGCGACCTCCGAGGTGATTTTGTGGAATAGGGTCGGAAGTTCGCACTTTGTCACTCGGAAGATCCTCGAGTTTCTTTCCATCCAAATTGTCCAGATCGTGGCTGCAATGGAGGATTTCTAGAGGAGCCTGCCAGCAGTAGGCAACGGCATGTCCTTTGAAAGGTTGAGGAGTGCCAGTAGGGAGGGAGGAGTGACCCAGGAGAGTCCGAAGAGGTGATGGAGTAAGCTCCACACCTCTTGGGCAAGACTGCAGTGTATGAAAAGATGGGGGTTGGTCTCTTCCTTATTGGTACACATCCCACAACGATTGGGTATAGGAACACCCCTCCATTGGAGTTGGTCGACTATGAGGGCCTTTCAAAACATGCAATCCAGTTGAAGGCTTGCACTTTAGGAGGGGCTATGGAGGACCACACCTGAGCTACGATAGATCTTATAGAAAGAAGCTACCGAGAAGGAACCCTCCATTGGAGTTGGTCGACTATGAGGGCCTTTTCAAAACATGCGATGCAGTTGAAGGCTTGCACTTAAAGGGGGGGCCATGGAGGACAAGAGTTTGTTATAGAAAAAAGCTACCGAGAAGGAACCCGAAGGAGAAGGGGTACATACCAAGCGATCTAGCCCAAAAACGGCGAGGAAGTTTGAGTGAAGCAAGGTGGACAAAGAGAGGAAATTTGTGTTTTCAGGATCGGTGAGAGTGCGTCTGAAGGACAGGTTCAAGACTTTAAAATTACCCGAGAGGGGCATCTCATGTGCAATTGAAGACGATTTGTTGGCGGCTAGAGAGAATAGAGGAGGAAAAGGTCCTTGAGTGGGGTGTGGCCCAACCAGAGGTCTGGCCAAAAGCGGATGTGATGGCCTTCCCTATGGTGGAAGCAGATGTTTTTCTGGAAGAGGGTGAAGAGGAACAAGGGCTCTTGTTTTAGACCTAGTGAGGGAAAACCCTATCATGATCAATTTGCAGCCCGTGGCAAACTCAAAGCATTTAAGGAAGAGACGCAGTGTCTTGATTTCTTGTGGGACGGCATTTAAGAAGACAAGGTTGTCATCAACCTACTATAGGTGAGAGACAGACTATAACCCCTTAGCTCTTGAAGCAAGTTAAAAGGCACAACCGGTACATACGGGTAATGGATTGGCTGTAAACCTCCTCTGAAATCACGAAGAAGGGGGAAAGAGGGTCTCCTTGTCAGAGGCCTCTAGACGATAGGAAGTACCCTTTTGGAGATCCATTGATAAGCATGGAGAACAAAGGCTGAGAATAGCAGCCTCTCATCCACCTTCTCCAACAGTCCCCCAAACCCATCCAGGCCATTGTCTCGTCAAGGATGTCCCAATCCACATGGTCGTACGCCTTTCCTAATCAATCTTGAAAACGAGACCCGGTTGTTTGGCCAGATGTTTGAGTGCAAGCATTCATGTGCCACCAGTACCCCATCCAAGATCTGCCCATCTTTGATGAAGGCACTCTGGGAGAGGGAGATCACGAAAGGGAGCACCTCTTTAAGCCTGGAAGCAATGTTTAAAAATAACGAATCGATGACCCGAATCGGTCTAACCAGACCTGTGTCGAATAGCTGGATCGGTTGATCGAATAGGAGAATCGGCCGAATCGGTAATTTTTGTACCAAAAAATTTTCAAAAAATCATTATAAATCTCAAAAAATAGTGTTCTTTTAGTTTCTAAAAGAA